TCAGCGAACTGCTGCTTACCTGGGGGACTAATACGCGTTCCCTGTGGACCTGGGTTAGGAAAGGGGACTTGAGTCAGGAAGATGTGGTGGCGGGGTGGCTCTTTGTGGGGAGAAGTGACCCCAACAAGTTGGGTTCTTGGCTTCCTAAGTCCCAACCCCAGCAAATGGGAAATGTGGGCACAGAAGCCTGAATTAAACGGAAAAGGGGTTCATTTTTAAGGTGCTGCTGGGGTCAGCCACCCTCCACCTTGACAGTCACCTGCACTGATACCCAGAGGGGGTTTAGAGAGGTTCAGACCCTGGCTTTAGCCACCACCCACTAGATGACTTTTAGTTCACAGGCAACAGAGGTCACAGGCAGACAGGCATTTGATCCGGAAGAGGAGCGTGGCTATCACGTAAGGGCTGGAGGAAGAGGCTCCGGAATGGGCCTCCAGGAGCAATCCTGGAATAATCCCGGGGCAGGCAGGCCAGGGTGTGTGTGTGTATGTGTGTGTGGAGGCGGGGAGGCTGCAGTCTGGTGATGTCTGGGCCTCAGCAGGAGGCTGGAGGGCTGGGTCTGGAAGGACTAGAGAACTTCCTCTCACATCTTGCCCTGATGCTGACTGGCCGTGCCTCCTCCAATCCCCATGTAGCTTCTGCATGTGGGTGAGCTGAGTCTCCAGCTGCTGGAGGATCCAGCTGCTGCTGGATCTCGGGAAAACCAGGAAGAGTGTGGGGCTTCCTGTGAGTTAGCCCGGAGTCGCTTCTGCTGTGTCCCATTGACTGGGGCCTTTACAGAGCTGCAGCTTCAGAGCAAAGTCATGCGTGGGGTGTCCAAGGACAGCAGGGTGCAGAGGGAGGTGACCTAGGGCCCCAGGCAGAGCCCCGAGGAAATGCCTCAGCTCAGGGTGCCCAGCAGGAAGAGCTGCAAAGGAAATAAGAGTCGGCCAGCCGCCCTGGTCAGACAGAGCTCCCACAGTTAGGCCCTAGGTGTCCATTCAGTGCCCTCTGGAGTCTCCTGCCCAAGGAAGCTCACGCAGAGGTCGGAAGGAGGGGCGCACTTACCAGCTCTAGGGTGGCTGTTGCTCCCCTGAACAGGACTGAGTCGTGTCATGGCCCAGGGAGGTGGTCTTCACTCTTGGGCTGGCTGAAGCTCTGGCTCTGTGGAGGGAGATGGGCTCACCCTGCAGCTGCGGCCATGGAGACCAGAGGCAAGAGAAAGTCTCCTCACCTCAGAGTGGCCTGGGCTTTCCAGAAAGCATCCAGTAGTGTTTGGGTAAGGGGTGGCAAAGGGGGTACGAGCTGGACCTGGAGGAGTAGTGGGTGGAAGAGGAAGGCGCTGGCCCAGCAGCAGCTGCGCTTGCTTGTGGAAGGCTCCTCTCCTCTACTGTTGGGGACCTTGTGCCTCACAGGCAGGCCCTAGGTGGTAGGAGCGGCTGTCTCTATGGAAGCGTTGAGCTGAGGGCTGGCAGGCTCCCTTTTCACGGACCGGAAGCCAGGCCTGAGCACTGGGTGCTGGCCGGGAGCTGCACGCCTGCCTGCAGAGCCCAGGAAGGGCTCAGGGAGTGTGGATACCCAGAGCAGCGTCCGCTGGGCTCTCACATCTCGTCTCGGGGGAAGAGGGGCAGAGGTGACTGTGCTGGCAGCCTGTGTCGGCTCCACACCCCTTCACGGGTGCGCTTAAAATGGACACCTTGTGGCCCTCCCTGGTGGCGCAGCGGGTTAAAGCACAGCACTGAGAAGCTAAAGCCACTTCCGCATGAGTTCGATTCCCGCCTGCCCCAGAGGTGACCACATGGCGTGGCAGAACTCTCCTGACCCGCCCGCTGGACCCCTCAGCAGTGTACTTCGTCGATCTGCCTGTTCTGCTCCCACTCTGTCTCTGGTGAATACTCTCACCCTCCACATCTCTGGCCTGTACCCCAGTTGTGTATGCCCAAAAAAAAAAAAAAAAAAAAGTTAGTTAAAAAAAAACAAAAAAACGGACACCTTGTACTGCAAACCCCAGCAAAGCCATGTCAGTGATTTCTGGACCGTCTCCGCCAACAATGTCATAGTGGAAAGGAAGCAGCAAGAGAAACTGGTTCTCTGTTCTCTACCCAATCATGACCAAGGACCCAGACATGCGCACTCCCCCCCGGAGCAGTAAAGGACCAGGGGCTGGGCAGGGTGGACCGTGCATGTCTTCAGAAAAATGCTTCAAAACAGCAAAGAAAAGGATAAAAGCCTATGCAGAAACTTGCACAAGAGAAACTAATGAGAAGTTAATTCAGAAGTGCCTTCCCAGACCACTTGGCTCAGGTAGGGTGAAAACCTGCTCAATCTGGCCCACTGTTTTTGGGAAACACAGTATGTGTCACAGGGGGTAACACACCGAAAGAAAATACATCAAAATATGGCCAGAGTTTATTTGAAACATGAATTTCCTTTCACAAAACCACTGATTTAAAAAAAAATTTAAAAATTACTTTTGTTTAAAAGAACTGGGGTACAGGCCAGAGGTGCGGGGTTGAGACAGACAGAGTGGGGAGCAGAATAGGTGGAGCTACTGAAACACTGCTGAGGGGAGCAGTGGGCGAGATAGGAGAGGTCTGCTGCGCCACGTGGGTCACCTCAGGGGCAGGAGCAAACTCTTGTGGTTGCTGCGGCCAGCTTCATTGTGCTGCACTTGCACCACCAGGGAGGGCCCTCTCCTTTGATTTCTAAGGAAGAATTTCCTATTTTTTAAACAATTACAACTGGCACACACATACAGAGACACTTTCACAGGTAGGAAAAGTTAAAGTTTGGATATCATCTGTGGCTAACTCTACAGTATCTCAAGTGCACCTGTCCGCCCTGGCTAATGTTGTGCACAGGTGAGCACGCCCCCAGTAAGGCCAGCAAACAAGTCAGCAGAGCACAGTGCACTCTGTCCTGCAAGTAGCTGCAGCCCACTACTTTGTTTCAAGAAGCTACAAGGAGCCCCAGGACCGGTACAAACATGCACCCCACTCCCTGCATCGGGCACATTTCCTGTTTTTTTCCTGTACATACAGACCCTACATATACTCATGGGCAGTCCTAATAAACAGACTTGATTCCAGACCCCAAGCTCCCGCTTCATTCTCTCGCGTCTCTGAGTCTCCTATGTTCTGGTGAACATAGCGGTCAGCACACCCCTCGGTGGGTTAGCAACAATCACCATTACAAATGCTCCTGACTTAAAAGCAACAGTCTAAGGAAGACCTGGGGACCTGAAAAGGTCCTGCAGAGAACGGTGGTGCAAAGAACGGCCATGTGGCCATCTTGGAGGCAGTGACCAGAGAATACACCACCCACCAACATTCACCAGCTGCCCATGGGGTGGGCTTCAAGAAGCACGCCCCCAGCACCGACACAGAGCCGGAAAGTCACAGGGGCAGAAACAGGCCCTCCAGGCCGGGGTGCTGACACCAGGCTCAACAAAGCTGGCTGCGTGCGCTAAAGGAATAAGGAACATCTACGGTTTCCGTGGTTGTCCAGAAAACGTGACAAAGATTCACCAAACAGGCCCTGTACATTGATTGTCCATTTACTTATCACCACCTTCAAAAATATCCAGCCCATGTGGACAACAGCTGACCACTGATTGTCAAATAAAGTTATGTAACTGCCAAAAAAAAAAAAAGCTGGGCCAAGCGCCATCCTCCTTGAGGTCAGATTCGAGATGTGTTAGGGCAGGGAGGCTGGAGTGCTGGCCTGTGGCTGGGGCACACCCACTTTGCAGGAGGGAGTCTGGCAAAGCCACCGAAATTCCCCCACCCCACCCCTGCCAGCCGGTGACTCCCAACTCTGCTACTGAAGTGAGTCTGTGATGCAAAAAGGGGGCATCCTTGAGGTGCTGTGCACGGTGGTGTGGTTTTCCCTACAGGGGAATGTTTGAGTAGCTGTGGCAACTCTAATTATCACAGAAGGCACCAAAGAACAGATTCGGTCTACACAGAGCTGCTGACCAGGTGGGATTCCAAGACTGGTGGAAGTCGTGAAATAACTTGTGACAAGGGGTCTGGGGTCCAGACAGAACTGGCGGTGAGCACGTCGGGGTGAGCTGGTGGGGTTCTGGGGCAAAGAAGGAACGCGATGCTAAGCCACTTGGCAGCAGCTCGGGGAAACAGCCACGACTTCTCTACTTACTGACCCTGCGGAAAGGCACGGTGTTTGTCCACATACATCACATGTACAGGAACAAGGACGAGGTGGCACTGGGCAGAGATGCCAGTTTAGTCAGAAAACGATGTCCTTTGTTTCTGTTGATTTAGAAGTACCATTGTTGTATACCCTTGTCACTACTTAGTATCAGATGTCTCCCTGCATGTGACTGCTGTCGCTCTCCTGCCACCGAAGCATCTGTAAAGCTTCCAGAATCCGTTTTGTTCCCCCCACCTCCCTGCCATCGTGAGGGAACTTTCGTGTTGGATGTTACTTCTGTGCACTTTTTCCAGACAGGTTCAAAATATCTTGCTCAATAAAAAGCTGCAAACAATGGGGAGAAGATAGCCCCATGCTTTGTGACAAATTGGGAGTTCAGTTTGAAGCCAAGGACCTGTGTCCCCTCAAAGGCCCAGGGGCCCAGGTAGGGAAGAGGCTGTGCCTCAGGAGAGTGGGGGCTGGGGTCCCCCTGCACAGGTTCTCCCTTAGCTGGGCCCCTTTGTCCCTTTCTTGGAGGAGGATGTCTCTCTGGTTTGCCGTCGACCACCATAAGCAGCTTCCTGCACTGTCCGGGGGGGCACTCTGCCCAACTAACAAAGGTTCACAGCCCGGAGGGTCCCTCAGCAAGACCAGCCATTGGTTTTTCCTTGGGCAGGGGCTACGGGAAACCAGAGGACCAGCCCCCGGGGACTGCTGTCACCCACTGGACACGCACGGGTGCCTGCAGTCGGCAGCCGCCTGCCTCCTAGGAGGCTATTTTAGATCTAAGTGTGTCCCAGGAATCTGCAGGGCTTCCTGCCTGTGAGAAGCAGAGGAAGGAGAGAGGCAGTGGAGCACACAAACTTTTATTTACAAAAGTCGAAGTTACATATAATACAAGCTTTTTACACACAGTAGTTTAAACAATTATTTTACGTGTTTTTACTACCAGAAGAAAAAAATTTGATAAACTAATCATTTTGCTATTTTAATACAAAGTGACAGGTCATGCACATCCTTTTAAGTCTTGAAATCCTTTGCTAAGTGCAAATACTAGATTCCTCTCTCCAGTTTTAAGGCATGTAGAAGGCGGCTGTCACTGGGCAGTCGCTCTGGGAGCCAGCCTGCAGCCTGGAGCAGGGGCCTGGCTGCCTCGGTTCCCGAGCCTGCCACAGAGGGCTCTAGGTCTCCAGTCATTTGTTTTGCAGCCACCTGCTGGCTTCTCAGCCCCTTAAGCCCCATCACTAACAAGGCTGGATCTCCGGACCGGGCCCAGGCCTGCCCCTGGAATGTAGAGGCACCGGGAGGGTCATCCTGCACATGTGGCTAGACTCTCCCCAGCGGCCATGCAGACTTGTGAGCTGCCTCAGCCTGGAGGGACGTTCAGATGCCTGCTTTGGAAAGGCGGGAGCGGTCCCCTGGAGGCTGTGGGGAACTCACACTCTAAACACAAGGCCTTGGAGGTTTGGCCTGGGTGGGGGGTGGGGGCAGGAGCAACATTCTGGCTACTTCCTCCCTCGTGCCCTGTGGATGGTGGCATGGCCGTCCTGCCAGGGTCTGCCCTTATACTGTGAGGCCCCCATGGAGTGACGCCCTCTGGCTGCAGGGCAGAGATGGAGCTGGGTTCCTTCAGGAGATCGATCAGCTCAGGAGGCTAAGGCCTGACAGTGAGTGCTGTCACTGATGGGACAAGTGGACAGCGCTGGGGTCGCCCTCCAGCTGATGGATAACTGCTGTCGGCTCACTGCTATGAGACTCCCTCTTGGGGCTGCACAAGAGAACGCTGTTAAATTAGAGGAAGCAACTCTGTTGCAGCAACCTGGGCTCCATGAGCCCCCCAAGCAGGCTGGCAGCCTGACTGACATGGGGAGATCTGGCAGCAGAGGCTGGGCAAAGCATGTTCTGGCATGGCGGCTGGCTGCCCAATGACTGCCGGTCTCAGCACACACCATGAATCAAGGCAGGATGGGCAGTTCAGCAGACGCCCCACTTCAGGGCTCACACGTGTGAGACGCTGAACACATGCATGACAAGACATGGGGATGCTTGTTGGGGGACAGCCCCCACAGCAGCAGGCAGGCCTGTTGGAGGAGGGCGGGCACAGTGTCAGGGTGCCCGGCCACCTCTGGGAACCCGGTCACTAGAGACACTGTCAGGAGCAGAGGCAACAGAAGGGGCCATGGGGTCCTTGCCCAGCTCTGCACACAGGCAGGAGCGCAAGGTACCGCAGAGTGAAGACTGGGGCATGGAGACACCTCCAGTGTGGCTCAAACACCCGTCAGGGCTGGAAAAGGCAGCGACACGCGCAGACCCAGAATGACCTGAGCACAGGAAAGGGCAGCTGCCCCCACACTGCAGTCCCTCCTCCACCTGCCTTTGTCACTGAGACAGAATACGAGGGTGGGATAAAGGAGAGGCCTTTTCATCCACTCAGATGCTTGCCTTCAGACTCCCACACTGAACCCTCAAACGGCATTCAGAAACACGGGGGTGGCGGGGGCGCTGTTAAGGTAGTGCTGAGCATACCACCAGGGAAGCGGCATTCAAGGTTTCTGTGTCCCCGGGAAAATGTACTGCCACCCAAGAGCTGAAGGGAGCTTTAATACCTGACTGGTGGCAGAGCCGCCAGGCCACTGTCACAGCTACTCTAAAGGACTGTCTGTCTGGCCAAAGTTTCAGAACCATCCTGCACTCATGAGCTGACTGGTCTAGGTGAACAGACTTCTTAGCCTGAGGGAGAAAAACCCGAGTAGGCTGTGGAAAGCTAGATAAATTCAAAGTTAAGTAAACAGCAAACATTTCTTTAAGCTACAAAACAGCCGATAGCAAGAGGTGGCTCTGTGGGCTCGTCTGAGTGGCTCAAGAGGGAGAGGAGAAGGCCCCTCACTACAGTGGCTGCCTGAGGTTCTGGACTTGGGGGAGCATCCCTGGCCTGTGGACACTGTTCCACCACCTCTTTGGACCAACTGAGAGTCTCTGAGGGGCCAGCGCCCAGAGAAGGCATGAAAGACAAAAGGCCCTGAACCCTCATGCAGGTGCTGGCCTGGCTCAGAGCAGAGGGCAAAACTCACTGTAGGTGGGCCTCAGTGCCAAGGGGTGACCGAAGAGCCCGCTGCACAACATGGTTCAGACCTCTCAGCTCTCTCCACACTGCACTAGTGGCTACTTCAGGGTTGTTACGGGCCAGGCTGTGCTGCGATTAAGGAAGGCCTACGTGGTTTGTTGCTGAGAGAGTTCTGGTGTCTGCTGGGGGGCGAGGTGGGCGACAAACTTTTCCCTTCGTCTTTCTGTGTCCAGGACTGCAGCAAGGGTGCCAGGATGGCCGGACTCTTTAGGAAGAGGACTTCTGCAGTCCCTTATCTCTGGCCTGGTGAGCACCAGGCCAGTCCTGCAATGGGCACTCAGAGGGGGTTGGTCTGTTGGCCACTCTTAAAGGGGCAGTGGCCCTTCACGGGAAGAAGCAGAAGACCAACCTATCCTTTTGGGCTGAGTCTGTCATTCCTACTTAGAAGGCTGGGCAGTCATCAGCCTGGAGGTGAAGGGAGGTTTTGCCAAGACCGACCCGCAAAGGCTCAGGCTGCTTAGTGGGACTCAGAGGCCCACAGGCTCCTGACAGTCAGAAGCGATGCCTGGGCTGGGGGCCAAAGTGCATGGGCAGGTTGTGCTCCAGGGGCACATGGACGGGGGCAAAATCATAGTTGACGCGTACATTAGGGAGAGGGGGCACGTAGGGTGCTGGGATAGGGCCCATGTTGAGGGGGAAGTTGTTGAACATGGGTCGAACGGGCGGCAGGGGGAAGGGTGGGTGCACAAAGGCATAGGGCGGCATGCGCGGCGGGTGCAGGTTCTGTGGGACAGGCCTCGGCAGGGCCTCGACCCGCTGGACTTTCTCTGGAGGTTTCTCCAAGGGAGGCCCGATGCGCTTGAAGGTGTTCTCTGGGAACGGGGTGGGAGGGGGAGAGAGGATTTAGTAGAGACAACAGGTTAAAAACAGCTGTTCTAGCATGGTTCTAGACCCTACCCCACTTGCCTGGAGTTGGGGGTTACGTCAGGAGCATAGGAGAGGCAGGAACCTCAGACATTGAACACCACTCTTGCCTCTGGACACTGGAGGCCAACAGTATGCACAAGAGACACACACACCCTCCCCACACCGCAGCGGTCACCAAGGGCAAATGGTGAGTGTGTCACACTCTTCAGCCATCACCTTGGAAGGCCGTGGATTATCTACCTCAGGGCAGGTGGAACATCTATGTGAGATCTGCCACACCGTCTTTTTAATCTGGCTTGGCTTCTATTTGGTTCCTAAGCAGAACAATACCTCGGGACCTCCTTGCCATCAAGGAGAAGCTAAACTGCCTGAGCTTCCTGGGTAGAGCCAGGTCCCCAGGAAAGGCCAGCAGAGGGGCAGCCTCCTCCCCTCTACACATGAGATGCTGGTATCTGTGCTGGGGAGAACACTTACCTCCATTCTTTCTTTTCTGTTCCTCTTCAGCCTCTTTCTGGATTTCCTCAATTAGCTTCTCATCATCTTCCTAGAAGAGATGTGGACAGATGACGAGCCAGCTCTCAACTAGCTCCATGCAGAGCTGAGGGCCCAGCAGGACACCAGGAGGCCAGAGTGTTTCTGAGAAGCAGTGGGGTTAAACCAGAACCCTGCTGTTGATCAGCACGTTGTGGGCTGCACCTAACTGTCACTCCCCAAGCACCTCCCTCCTCTGTGAATGGCGCTGCCCCACAAGGAAGACCTCTGACAGGCTGGGCCCAAGGCGTGGGTCAGATGTGGCAGATGACTGCCTGAGGGGCAGACCAATAACCCAAGGGCTTGGGGAAAGGGGGAGCTCTGGGGTGGGCAGAGCCTACACAGAGCCCAAGACCACAAAAGCAGAGCAGCTGTGCAGCACCTGGAGGCATTTTGCTTGTTCCCTGACTAACTGCACACACATATTCTTGGGCCTGCTGAGCCTTCAGTGTTTAGAAAGTCGGCGGGCTGTGAGAACAGCCTCCTGCTAGCACAGTGGTCTGGGTCCAGGAACTCAAAAGCCACCCTGACAGGTGGGCCCTGTCATTGCCCCTTCCCAAGGTGGGCCCTGTCATTGCCCCTTCCCAAGGCAATTTGGCAGGCCTGCTATCTAGTTAGTGGTGCAAACCTAGAGGGTCCCTGGAAATCAGGAGCCAAAGAGGCCCTCTGGGCAAAGGCAGATGTATGGGCTTCACCAGGTAAGCTCTGGGGCTGTGCAGGGCAAGCAGGGGTCCATGCCACGTGTGTTGCTACATCTCTGTTGTGGGAGCACTGGGCTGCTGCCCTGAGACAGACTCCCAACATGTCTTTTCTGGGTAATAGGTCAGGGTCCAATCTACTCAGCAGCCCTGCAAAGAGATTTTCTAATTTATGTGGAGACCCAGTGGACACTCACTTGATTGGAAAAAAAAAAAACCAAAAACAAAACCCAGAGAATGCACCTCTTTCTTGCCCACTCCCAGGGCTGTTGAAGCACCAGCACAGCCACGGAGGACTGTGGTGTGGGCACGATGATCTCCCAGAGCAGCCTGCAGACTGAGCGTGTGGAGGTAGCAGGATGGGCACTGCTGGAAGCCCTTTACATATTTTTTTAGATAAAAAGATTTCTAGGTCCTCCCTGGTGGCGCAGCAGGTTAAAGCGCAGCACTGAGAATCTAAAGCTGTTTCCGCACGAGTTCGATTCCCGCCTGCCCCAGAGGTGACCACATGGCATGGCAGACCTCTCCTGGCCCGCCCGCTGCTCCCCTCAGCAGTGTACTTCGTCGATCTGCCTGTTCTGCTACCCACTCTGTCTCTGGTGAAGCCTCTCGCCGCCCCTGAGCCTCTGGCCGCCCCTGAGCCTCTGGCCTGTACCCCAGTTCTGTATGCACAAATAAATAAATCTTAAAAAAAAAAAAAAAAAAAAAGATTTCTATCCAGGGCTCCTGGGCACGGTGAGCTCTCTAGGCAAATCTGAGAGCCCCATGTATGCTCTAGGTTCGCTAAGCCTCACATCCCAAACGATGCATGTGGACTAAATGGCCTGTTCATTTAAAAAAAAAAAAACGTATTTATTTATGCATACAAGAACGGGGGTATAGGCCAGAGGCGTGGAGGTGAGAGGATTCCTTCAAGACAGAGTGGGGAGCAGAATAGGCTGATACAATGAAACACAATGCTGAGGGGCGCAGTGGGTGAGCCAGGAGAGGTCTGCTGCGCCATGCGCCTTAGCTCTCTGGCCGGGGATCGAACTGGTGTTGTGGACAGCTTGATAGTGCATGCACTGAGTAGCCATAATAAAAAAATAAAAAGGAAAGGGCCTCTCTTGGTGGCACGGGGGTTAAGTCTCAGCACTATGAAGCTATCAGCTCCCTACTCTGTCTCTGATGAATCCTCCCCCCAATCTCTAGCCTGTACCTCAGTTCTTGTATGCATAAATAAATAAATCTTAAAAAAATGTTAATGAAAGAGAGAGAAATTAGGTTTAAGGTTGATTCTGAGATTAAACATAAAGAATGGTCCTTCCTCAAAACACTGCCTGGGTTTGGATGGAGTGTCAGATGGGGCTATTTGAGGCCTTTATGGAGGAGGAGTTTCCTTGGGTAACATTCTAGGCATCCTGAGTATCATAGTTCATCCTTATTCACTGTGGTGAATAAGGACACTTGTAAAGAAGGCTTGCCATTCTGCAAATCTAGGACACACCTTGCCTGCTGGAAACGGGGAACAATAGGAGGAAAGATGATGAGCAGACCAGGTGCGTGGGCTGGCTCACAGAATTCACTGTTCTCCAATCCCCTGTAGGGGCTGAGTCACTCACAGGAAGTCAGGCATGCCCAGAGTGGTCTGTGGATGGGGAATGCACGTGCGGAATTTTATGCTGAAGAAACACTGGCTCCTTAACACATACCTAACTGGTGTGATGGGGAGAGCTTTAGCTTTGCAGCACCACAGGCCTGAACTTGAGGTCTCCTCTAGCTCTCCTGACCTAACATAGGGCCTGTCAATTCCTACAACAGAATGACTGTGAGAAGAAATTATCTGTTTACAAAGCGCCCAGCGTTTGGCAGTAGGAGAGGTGGTTACCTTTACTGAGTGTTACACCAGACACCAGCTTTGGAGGCTTAATCTCTCTGAGAAGCCTGTGTCAGGTACTCCTAATGAATGTGTGCACCACAGACGAAGACACCGTGTGGTTCAAACCCAGGCTATCCAATCCAAAGCTGAAACTCTCAGACACATGGACCAGGGGTTTCTGAACTGGAGCAGAGAAACTGAAGGACCCTGTAACTGGCTGCCCTGCCCTAAGCACTACCACGGGTGACTATTTTTAGGTCTTGTTCTTTTCTAGAAAGAATGTATGTTACTCTCATTGGAATATAAGAGGGTCCCTTCTCTCTGGGAGAAGCAGGGCACTGAAATCTCCTCTCACCACTAAATACAAGACTAGGGCAAACCTGGGTGATATTGACTGGTGTCCCTGTGCCAGAGTGAGCGCCAGGAACTCGAGGAGCCCATACATCTTCCCCAGAGCTAAGGGAAAGATCAGGTTCTATCACTGAGATTTTTTTTTTTTAAAAAGCTTTATTTATAAACCCTAAAAGCTCCACAGAGGAACTAATCAAAACCATCAACCAGTTTAGCAAGGTAGCAGGTTATAAAATCAACACACAAAAGTCAGAGGCTTTCTTATATACAAACAACCAAGCAGAAGAAATAGAGATAAAAAAAACCATCCCCTTTTCAATTAAAACAAAAAGAATCAAATACCTGGGAGTCAACCTAACAAAGGAGGTAAAAGACCTCTAC